GGTGACAAGGTGACAGCCCCTGTGCCGGGGTCACTCCTGGCATTCCTCGGCATCCTCAGGCACAGCCGGGAATGGGGGGACACTTCACCCTCCCACCCCCTTTTTCCCGGGTATTTCCCAGCCACTCAGGGCAGGAGGAACCAGGCACAAATCCAGGGTCTGGGGGCTCTTCCTGAACCCCTTGGAAACTCCCAAAACCCCTCAGAGTGACACAAACTCCATGGAAAATCCCTCCCTGCCMAAATAAAAACCACTCCAGCCCCCTCAGCAGGTGCATCCCAGAGCTGAGGATGAAGGATGCCAGTCCTAGTGCAACTGAGCCAGAAATCCTCTCCAAATTCCCCAGAAAAGGGACAATAAATGGCCACGGAAGCGCTGCTTGTGTCGTTCTGACCCTTTTGGATGAGGGAACCCTTCAGGAGAGGCCACTGAGCAGCCCAAAGCTGGGTTTCCATCCTGGAGCACTGCAGGGAGGATTTCAGGGAATTCCTGCTCTCCGACCCGAGCTGGCTGGGAAAAGGGCCAGGCTCGATTTCATGGGATTCTCCTGGGGTTTCCCCCGCAGCACCAAGTGAGGGCTCAGCAAAGCCCTCCAGGTCTCAGCGCAGCCGATTTGGGAGAACCCCAAATCCCAGGTCTGGATTCATCTGTTCTCTGACAAACCTCTGTCTGAAATCTGTAGGATTATTGGAAACATGGAGCAAAATACCTGAAACCCAAAAGCCTGGACAGCACTTTAACAAGCAGGAAACCCTCCAAAACGTGGGAAAGGAACAAGGGAAGGGCTAAAAGATAACTTAGGATCTGGAGACTGAGGAGCTGCTGAAGCTAAAAACCTCGTTAACACAAGGAAGTGATTAATAGGGTTTCCCCCAGAGCTGAAGATGCTCTGATGTGACTTTGGGGCAGTGGCTGATCCACAAAATGCCCCTAAAAAGCCTTTTGTGCCTGCAGGGGATGCAGAGAGCAGCCAGCGGTCCTTGCTTACAGCAMACCCATTTTGGGAAGGTAGGAAAACCTGAGCTCATGTTTTCCCCTCAGCTATCCCAGCTCAAAAGCTGCCCAGYTGTTCCCAGAAGGAAGGAAAGCGGCCCCAAAACTGCAATTTTTCCGTCCTACTGGAAACAAAAACCCCCAAAAAAACAACAACAACAAAAAAAAAAAGGTTACGAAAATACCCCCGAGGTCTTTAACGGGTCGGTTCCTGTTCCTCTGCGGGAAATGCTGCTCAGAAGGTTTCCACTGTAAACACCCAGGGATGGCTGCRCTCACCCCCTCAGCTCTGCAGGGCTGATCTCCTCCCCTGCTGCATGGGCCAGCCTGGCTCATCCTCTCTGAGAACCTCGAAAAGGGGGCAGTGGGCAAAAATCAGCTCTGCAGGGGCTTCTGCCAGCCTGGATTGCCCAGGATAAAGGGCGTGGATTGCCCAGTATGGTGAGCCTGGAATGTCCAGGATGGAGGGCCCAGATTGCCCAGGATGGAGAGCTTGGAGTGCCCAGGATGGAGGGCCTGGAATGCCCAGGATAAAGGGTCTGGAGTGCCCAGGATGGAGGGCCTGGAATGCCCAGGATGGAGGGTCTGGAGTGCTCAGGATGGAGGGCCTGGAATGCCCAGGATAAAGGGTCTGGAGTGCCCAGGATAAAGGGTCTGGAGTGCCCAGGATAAAGGGTCTGGAGTGCCCAGGAAAGAGGGCCTGGAGTACCCAGGAGTGCCCGGGATGGAGGGTCTGGACTGCCCGGGATGGAGGGCCCACAGTGCCCAGCGAGGAGAACCTGAATTTCCCAGGAATCATGGCCTGGGTTTGGCTCAAGGCTTTGCCCAGGAAATGAGGCAGCGTGGAGGCCACGGAAGATTTATGGCCACATTCACCTTCCCCAAGTGTTTCCCGAATGCCTGATCCCCCCCCAGCCCCACACACACCCACCCCTCCTGATGCTCCTGGGGAGGTTGACCTCCTGTAGGCTCGCAATTAGAGCCGGGCAGGATGAAAATCTCCATTTCTGATTCCCACACTGATTGCAGGGGCTGTGATCCCAGCTGAGGGCGCTGGGAATGCCCCGTTCCTGGAATTCCGGGAGCGCAAACCAGCGCTGTCCCCTTGCCAGGTGGTCCCGGCTCGGCGGGAACCGGGATTAACGAGCCAGAGGTGCGAAGGGRGAACTCAGCAAGTGCAGCGGGCAGGGTGGAAATCAGAATAAAAACATTTCCCTGCATCCCCGGCAGCCCCGCAGCTCCCAGCAGAGCCATAAAAATCCCCTAACGAGCAGCCTTTCCAACGGCACAGACAATGGCGTTGGAGGTACATTTGAAACAAATCTCTTTCCTTTCCAGAGGGTAATTTTCCTCTTTCCCTCCGTTTGACCCTCCCCTCGCCGAGAAACCGAACGCTCCGAGGCGCTTTGGAGGCTGCTCAGGCGCTTCTGGCGTTCCACACGTGCGGCCAAAAAGCTCTAACAGCGGAGCTGGGAGCCAGCAGGAACTCCAGCAAGCCAGGGGGGACGGAGGGAGGCGGAGGAAAATCCGCTTTGCCGAGGCTGAAGCAGCTGGACACGGCCCTGGGACCGCGCCAGTGACGCGCAGGGAGTTCCCAGGAGCCCCTCATTACCGGGCTGCCACCCAATCCCCAGCCTGGCCCCGGTGATTTCCCTTCAGGACACATTTCCCTGCTCCTCCGGGTTCCCGGGAAACCTCCCARGGCGGCTCTGCCCCGGCCCCGCGGCCCGGGGGAGGTTTCTCAACAGCGCTGCCGTTGTTSGCCGCGGAATAAATGTTATTTTCGGGAGCGCTGCCGCCGGGACTCACCCGCGGCTCCCCGGAGCGGTTCCCCACATCCGATCACGCCGCTCTGCTCCGCCCGAACACTGAGCCATTCTCCTGACCCGTGTTTTCCAGCAGCCAACTCCAAACATTTGGGATTTCGCTCGCTCCCCCTCCCCGCCCCAGCCCTGCTGGGAACGTGCTCGGCCAGCAAAGCCAACCCGGCTCGCTGCGCTCCTGGCTCGGCTCTCGCCGCCTCTCCTGCACCTGGGGCAGCCTCTGAGCAGCGCGGGGGGCACAGGAACCTTCTGAGGGTGCCTTGTTCCCCTGCTGAAAGCGCAGGGGAGGAGCTGCACAAGGTCCCCGAAGTGGGTGAGGGCTGACAGCGAGAAAGGAGAAGTGTCCGGGGTGGGTGGGGATGAAAATGGTCCCTCGAGGGGAGTAAATCCCTTCCTTCGGGCCGYAAGGGCTGCCCCAGGCTCCTCGGAGGATTTCCTGAGGGGCTGCACCCCATTTGTGCCCCCAAGACACAGCCCCAGGCCTGCTGCAGCACTCTGCTGCTAACACCCTCATTAACTAATTAATTAATTAATCRTCCAGTAACTCCTGCGAGTTTTTTTCTCTGGTGCACAGTTCACASGGGCCCTYTGCAGATTTTYTTTCACCTTCCTTAACMAGGACTGCAGAGAATCCTCCACCARCCCGAGAAGCCCCAGGGCAAACCTCGGGGGCAGAATTTCYGAAAATCACCTCAGAACAGCCCAGCTCAACCCCCGCCCCCGTCCTGCACCAGGGTCTCTATATCCCCATCGGATGACACTTCCCTAGGGATGAGAGAAATCCTATTTCCAGGATCCTTTCAGTGCAGAAGGGGAGGCAGAAGGGGGCGAGGACATTGTGACACTTCGGAGCCTTTTGACACCCGTGAGCCAAGTGAGAATCGCAGCATCCCACCCCGCAGGATCCCACCTGCTCCGAGCGAGGAAACGCTCTGCTGCCACCGGGAACGTTTCCCCACCAGAATCCCGAGGAAAAGTTCCTGCAGCACTGAGATTGTGAGAAAAACAGCAGTCCCCATAAGCGCAAACACCTTCCTGGAGGGTCACAGATGCCAAATCAACCGGGAGAGGGGGGAGCCGGGCCAGAAGGGGCACCAGGACACGCAGACAGCCAAGGTAAAAGCTGGCTCCGCGCCCGGACACCAATAATCCTTCAGCACCAGGGAAACGCAAAGCCTGGGAGCTGCAGGTGATCCCCGGGCAGCGGAGCGGGGCTTGGATTGTATTGCTCACGCCATAAATCACCGTGTCAGCTGCCCCGGCCGCTTCCCCCCGCTCTCCGGGAACTGGGTAAAAGTGCCAGGCCCTCTCAGCTCGGCCGGAGAGCTCAGGAACGAGGAGGGGAAAAACAAACTCATGCACGGCGCCTTTTTCCGGAATAACAATGCCCGCATTTGCATAGAGCGGCTGAGCCCGTGAGGCGCTGYCGGTCGCACCTCCGGGCGCATCAAAGCGTTATTAATTTCCAGCGAGGAGAACGAAGCGGCTTAAATCGTTAGCGCTCATCTGCTCAGCTTTCATGCGTTTTTAAAGCCGCCTCGTTTTCCGCCGATATGCAGGTGCCGATCGAGGAGCGTTTAAAAGGGGTGAAACTCCCCGCGGGTCAAGAGCAGGGACAGCAAGTCCAGCCTCCGGCTCGGGGACATGCGACATCCTCCTTGGCAGGAGCTCCCGCGGGGGTTTCGCTGGCACCGCTGCTGTCGCATCACGTGTGGCCCCAGAACAACCCCTCGGCGCCCCGCTCGCTTTCCTGTGCGAGTGACAAGGAGGAAATCCGCCCCAGACACGCCGCCAAGCTCAGCCCCGGCCCCGCCAGCGCTCCCGCTGCAGCCGGAGCGCCCGGCTCCTTAATTAGGGGCGGCCGCCAATTAAGAGCSCGGGTTTGCGGCGGTGCCAGCGCAGCCCCGGAGCTGCTGGCGGTCCATCGAGAGCCACAACCCCTCGGGCTGTGCCCGGGAGCGCGACACCGACTCCCGGTCCCTCGCTGCGGTGACCTCACCGGCGAGCGCCCTTGTGCCCCCCGCGCCGCCCCAGCTCCCGCTGAGCCCTCCCGGCGCCGGGCACGGCTGACACGCGATAAATCCCCATCGCATCCCTGCTTTCCGGGCACTCACACGCGCGCACGCACAGAGCCGGGGCCGGAGGAAGCGCTCGGCGTTACCTGCACTCGCCCCCCGCGCGGCAGCCGCGGCTCTCCCATGGCTCTGCCGGCGCCAGGCTGGACCCCGCGGCTCCAGGGGGATCTTCTGCCGCGCTGCAATAGAAAAGGTTGGTTTAAAGCTCCTTATTTGGGCAGTGATGTCAAGGGAAGTCGCTCGGGCAGCGCCTCCCCCTTTTTCCATTCACTCCACATTGTTTCCTGTTGTCAAAGCGGCTGCTGGGGCTCCGCGCGCGGCCACGGGATCCTCCGGCCAAAAGGGACCCTCCGGCCAAAGGGACCCTCCGGCCAAAGGGACCCTCCGGCCAAAGGGATCCTCCCGCCAAAGGGACCCTCCGGCCAAAAGGGACCCTCCGGCCAAAGGGACCCTCCGGCCACGGGATCCTCCGGCCACAGGGTCCTCCAGTTCTGGGGATTATCCAGTCCTGAGGATCCTCCCAGTTCTGGGGGTCATCTAATCCTGGGGGTTGTTCATCCCAGAGATCCTCCAGACCCGGGAATCCTCCAGTTCTGGGGGTCCTGGAGGCCTAGGGATCCCCCAGTCCGGGGGTTCCTCTCTCCCCGGGGATGCCCGGCCGCCGCCCGTCCCCGCTGTCCCGCCCGGGGCCGAGCTGGGCGGGCCGGACGCGGGAGCGGGTCCGAGCTGCCCCCGCGCACTCCACAGCCTTTCCC